ATATATATATATATATATATTAGGGGTGTAACGATACACAAACATGACGTTTCGGTACATACCTCGGTTTTGACTTCACGGTTCGGTACAGTTTCGGTATAGCAGGGGGGAAAACTAAACAATTATTATTATTTTTTTATTAAACGGTGGTTTACTGAACAAATTGCAAATTTCAGTTATAATTAAATTTTTCTTAGGGATAAAAATCTACCTCGGCTTATGCTATAAACTACAGTGAGCCCTTTTACATTAGGTCTACTATAAAGTTACAGTTAACAACAGAGCCCAACCTTAAATTTAAATACTATTTATTTTTAAATATAACAAGCAACACTCAATTAAAAAAAAAAAAAAGTATGCAAACATGTAAATTGCAAAATGCAGTTTTTAAATTAACTTCTAAATTATAAAAATTCTATTTGTTGTTGAAATATATTAATTTACACAGTGCCTCTCATAACTCGTTTCATAACAGATTTATTTAAACATTAAATAATTAAGACATCACTAACAGGTAAAGAAAAATATAATGATTATAAAGTCTAATATTTCGCCAAATGCCCTTCTCTAGACTTAATTTATAGCGAACTAACGAGCTGTGGACACTGATGACTTCCTGAGGTAAATGAAATGCTACACTCTAAAAAATGCTGGGTTGTTTCAACCCAACTTTGGGTCAAATATGGACTAACCCACTTTATCCTTTAATGTGAGACTCTCTGGCTAGATGTGCAGCTTTTGAGTGTGATGGTTTGTCCAGCTGTGATAGGCATCAGCATTTGACTTGTTTGGCAGCACTTCTGTTCAGTGGGGCAGAATGCAAAGATCTTGATCTTGCTGAACTTCAATGTGTTTTTATAGAACACTGAGCTGCACTTTGAAAAACAAGAGGTCCCACAGGAGCCTTACTTGGTCCCTGTAGAGTTTGTTGATGTTTTGAAAGAATCCCTGGCAGTACATGCTTTTACCACATTCATGAGATGGGGAGAAAATCACTTTCTAATAATAATATTTATGAATTTATATGTACAATTTTATTTATATATATATATATATATATATATATATATATGTGTGTGTGTGTATGTGTAAATTGCAAAATGCAGTTTTTAAATTAACTTCTAAATTATAAAAATTCTATTTGTTGTTGAAATATATTAATTTACACAGTGCCTCTCATAACTCGTTTCATAACAGATTTATTTAAACATTAAATAATTAAGACATCACTAACAGGTAAAGTAAAATATAATGATTATAAAGTCTAATATTTCGCCAAATGCCCTTCTCTAGACTTAATTTATAGCGAACTAACGAGCTGTGGACACTGATGACTTCCTGAGGTAAATGAAATGCAATGTGACATTTTGTTTACAAGCTGTTTAACTGACTTCTTTCTGCGGCTGAAACACTGGTTGAGCTATTATATGAGGTGTGAGATGTTCATTCATGTTTATTTTGCGTTAAATCTAGTAGTAAAGAGGAAGGGATGACCGCGCTGCCGTTTGAACTGAGGCGTTTATAAAGTGATCTGTTGCCACATCAAAGAGCGTCAAAACGGCATTTATTGTTTGAATTTCCTGAAAAAAAGGACATAATTTGAAAGATGAGACTTTGTCTTTTACCAAAAGTAACAATATATATATAACTGGAAGTTTCCAATGAAGTTTTGCTCGTGCAGTGGTTAAAACAATGCTGTATTTGTTCGGTATCTGAACCGAAAGACCCTTCGGTACGAATACGTGTACCGTTACACCCCTAATATATATATTAAATTATGTAAATTATTTCACTAAAGATGGGGTCTGTTTTTAAAATAAGTTACTTGATTTATTTGATCAAAATACAGTAAAAAAGTAATATTATAAAATATTACTATAAAAAAGTTTTCTATTTTAATATATTTTAAAATTTAATTTATTTCTGTGATGCAAAGCTGATTTTCCAACAGCCATTACTCCAGTCTTCAATGTCACATGATCCTTCAGAAATAATTGTCAGTATGCTGATTTGGTGCTTAAGAAACATTTCTTATTATTATCAGTGTTGAAAACAGTTGCTTAGTACTAGTAGTTGTGCTGCTTAATATTTCTGTGGAAACTATTACCACAAAAAAATTAATTATAAATATAGGGTACTATGAAATCCGTTTTATTTCCAAATTCAGTTTTTTCCATTTTCATTTTTCTATACTCTGTTTTAATGGTTAAATTACATTTTATTAATCAAAAAGCCCGTCTAATTAATTGAGTTTTACAGTTTTATCTTTACCAAATTCTGTTTTCCATTATTTTCTGGATTCCATTTTAATGGTTCCATTAAATTTTAATAATCAAAAGCATCTCCAATTAATTGATTTTATTTAAAAAAAAA